TGTACTAACACCTCATGCAAGAGCTGCTCCCTCAACAACAAATCTCTAATTCCCTCCCAAGTCCTAGCACTGCCACTAAGATCTACCCACCTATCAAAATAACCCTAACTCTAACTAAGAACTGAGTAAAAGTCTCACCCATCTCTATCCGAGCTGTCCTGAACTTCTGTCGGAACCCTTCCTCAGTCATCTCATACCGCTTCAGCAATGCTTGCTTTACTCTCCTTGTAGACCTCCACCTTGTCGGGGTCTAATCGAGAGTAAACGTCAAGTGCCTTTACCCTTCAATAAGGTGTTGAGAAAGGTTGCCCACTGAACCTCTCTGGCCATGCCTGTGACTTGGCTACACGCTCAAACCTTTTGTAAATAAGCATCGATGTTATCTCTCTGGTCATCAAAAGGTGGCATCTTAGGCACATAAGTAACAGATGGTGGCTTACCTTCCTGCTTTATACCTTCACCTACAGTACCCTTTCTCCCCTCTAACTGCAGCTTCTTTCTCCTCTAAGTCTAACTTCATGCCTCTAACTTCATAACCCTTTTCCTTTTCCTTTCTTTGTCCTCATTCTCCAATCTAAGTTTCTCTATCTCTAGTTTCTTCATCTCCCGAACCCTTTCCCGGTCATCCTGTTCTAATCTATCCTTCTCCCTCTCTCTCTAAATCTGTCTGTTCCCTTTACAAACTGCTGTAAATTCTCCCCTGTATAACCTAACTCCTTGCCCACCTTTACATATACCCACTAAATCCATAGTGAAACTAAGCAAAGCATCTACAGGTAAAAATGTATACTATCTAATACAAGGTAAGGTTTGAACAAAGGGACCCGTTATACCTCAGCACCCTACAGCCACTAGTACCAAGCAATGAAAATGTGAAGGAAACCAGGCGCACGACACCCAATATACGAGCGTACCACACTCATACGAAAAGTAATTTGAAATTACTAAATGGACCTACATATCTCACATGTGACAAAACAACAAATCCCACCGCTGCCACCAAAATGTCACAATGCGAGATAAAACAAAGGTGGTGTTGAAATAAATATAATTTATTTCAAAACAAAATGAAATGGAAAATCAAGAAAAGTTCAAATATTCAGCTTGCACACCCTTTCTCACTCACCACAAATACATTCATCCAAACATCTCAGTCATATATCACTCAAATACACCTTCAGTACATCACTCAAATACACACTCAGTACTCCATTACACCAGCGGTACCCAATACACTCATACTCCTATACACAATACACAAATCAAATATAGGCATACAAATGAAACATTTACAAAAATGTAATATTCCAGTCCATATCTATTTGACGATCGGCTCCCTATACAGGAGGTTGCACAGATTAATGGTATGTACAGTTCACGTCCTCACGAACACGGTCACACCCTGTCTGACGATACCCTGAGGCTACCCTGCCCTCCATACTTGTCACTGGACAACGTCCGGTCACAACACTGGTGAGAGGCACTGGTGAGAGGCATCGCTTAGCTGGTCAGCATACTTGGAGTTGACCCGCCACACTCAACCGGCAATACCTTGAGGCTACCCTGCCCTCCATACTTGGCACTGGACAACGTCCGGTCACAACACTGGTGAGAGGCACTGGTGAGAGGCATTACTTCGCTGGTCAGCATACTTGGTGTTGACCTGCCACACTCAACTAGCCAGCACACAGGCCGTCAAGCCAATACGGCCCCGACAGCCATGATAATTTTCCTGGCTCAGCTTTCACACCGTCGCTCCGCTCTATCATATCACGACTGCACCCGTCACATCAAACCGTCCACTTTTATGACTAAGTCGCAGAAACTGCCTGCTTTTCACGTGCAATCTCACTTCGCACACAGCCCAACTGCACGTACACTCACTCAACCGACACATACAGTTCAACCACACTATAAGAAACATCCAACGTATATACAGCTCAACCACATGTGATCTTGACAGTCTTTATGTTTGTCAATACTATTCTTTGTATCTGATTTTACTTCACTTTTTGCTTTATTACATAAAGCAGGCCTAGGTATGTGTAATGTCATAATAAGAATTCAAAACATAAACATGAGTAGGAGTTTTTGCAGGGATGAATAGTGGTTTTACTTACTTTTGTATTGGTACATAGTATTATGAACACTAGCGTAAAAGCTTGGATAACTTGTTTTGTGCTACGGCTTTATTATGTATATAAAATATTACATGACCATGACAAATGTAAACATTGAGTGTTATACTTAGTTATCTTAATTATAAAACTAATGTCTGATGTATTGGAAGTAAAGTCGAGCACTTTCAGGGAACTATAGTCTGTAGTCTTGGTTTGCATGTATCAGTAATGTTTCATAACGTGGGTACAATGGCAGTTTAACTCTGTAGAATATCATATAAAACCCGCCTGATTTATTGATCCATTAGTATGTGCATATGTAGCATATATACCGACTTTATTTCTTACTAAAATACCATGTTCCCGTTTTACTTCCTCCGTTTCAATCCCTTATGTATACGTATGTGTGTTGTAGTGTATTTAACATGTTTTAACAACACAGAAAGTTGAAGAATAAACACGTAGATGAAGACAGTGTCCTGAGCGAAATTCAACACCATCCGGGTCCAACAACGACCGTACAGTATCCTGTTTCACGATTAAACCTCATTGGATACATTTTTTGATGCATCAACGATAACCATGTCTTTGTTCAGATCGTCGAAGTTGTCCGCAATAAAGTATGTAACATCAGCGGGGTGGGGGTGGTGGTGGTGTGTGGGGGTAGCCTCGTGGTTAAAGCGTCCGCTCGTCACGCCTGGGTTCGATTCCCCACATGGGCACAATGTGTGCAGCCCAATTCTCGTGTTCCCCACCGTGATATTGCTGGAATATTGCTAAAAGTGGGTGTAAACCGTACTCACTCACTCACTGTAACATCAGCAAATCTGGTATCTTGCGCGAAAGAGGGACATACACCTCAGAATACGCTTCAAGTGGCGTACTATACTATACCATGAATTTTTGACAAGAAGATGTATTGTATCTTTGTATTGGAACCCAAGACTGAAATAAGCATGAATCAGCTCGCGTTTCCGTTCCTCCTTGCTTCCACATGAACTGCTTATGGAGCAGTGTATCTCTCAAGATACTAAGATGAGCGCTCAACATGCTAACGTGTGCGCTCAAGATGATATACTAATTGTGCGCTCAAGATATTAACTTGTGCGCTCAAGATATTAACTTGTGCGCTCAATATACTCAAGATAAGCTTGTGCGCTCAAGTATACTAACTTGTGCGCTCAAGATACTAATTATATTTGCCTCAAGAGGTCCCTTAATGCGCTACTAACCGTAGATAAAAATTTCATGGAACAAATGGAACAAATATCTCATTTGGTATTTTTAGTCGACTCATTCCGACAAGACTCGAAAGAGCTCTGGTATTCAATGACATGATTGGTGTTTTCACTAAACGTGGAAATGCATAACTAATAACGGAGCTCGGGTGGTCATGCAGCCCCGGTGACTCGGCTGGGACTCTGGATCAGAGTAGGTCTCAGTGAGTGAGTGGAGTGAATGGAGTGAGTTGGGGTTTACGCCACTTTTAGCTATATTTCAGCAATATCACGGCGTTGGACACCAGAAATGGGCTTCACACATTGTACCCAAGTGGGGAAATCGCACCGGGTCTTCGGCGTGACGAGCGAATACGTCTCCGTGGGGATCGGGTGGTCAGCCCTGATGACTCGGCTGGGATTCTTGGTCAGAGAAGGTCCCAGTGGGATCAGGTGGTCAGCCCTGATGACTCGGCTGGGATTCTTGATCAGAGGTCTCAGTGGGGATCAGGTGGTCAGCCCTGATGACTCGGAGCTGGGATTCTTGATCAGAGAAGGTCCCAGTGGGGATCAGGTGGTCAGCCCTGATGACTCGGCTGGGATTCTTTATCAGAGGTCTCAGTGGGCATCGCGGGTGGTCAGCCCCAGCGACTCAGCTGAGAGTCCAAATATGTTTCAGAGACCCATGCTTGTATAAGGCTAAGTCAGGACCGGGTTGTCCGCCGCGAAGTCTTTGCCAACCTAAACGGAACGTGTGACGTTGACGGTAGTGGCATGCATGCTGCTCATTTAACCAACAAAGATTCGAACATTCACAGGCCACTACAATGAGATACTTTACCCTAGTTTAACATAGATACCCAACTCAAAGCCGATCAGTATTTGTTTTAAGTGCAGAACGCCAGACAGCGTAACCTCAGGTAAATCTCCAGAAGTAATGCCTCGCAAAACACGATTTAGTCATAAGTATGTATTGCAGATGATCCTTTTCAAGAGTGGACAGTTATCGAGGCTTTTTAATGAAATGAAGTATTTTGGAGTATTGTATTGTTCATTTTGACGTTCGTATTTTTACGAAACTAAACTAACGGGAAAAAGAAACTAAGTCGAAATTACTGATATTACAAAACGACAAATCACCACTGTGAAAAAATAAAGTGGATTTTAATAAAGGTGTATGTTCTACCTGAACACCTGGCAACATACATATATTCTACAATTACCTGAACACCTGGTTCTATTCATTCCCGGGGAATCACTTTAACTCCAGGGTGAACAATTACCACAAATGGGCTTCACACATTGTACCCATGCATGTGCGGAATCAGACCTCATCAAAAATAGGTCTTAATTTGGCTTAAACACCTCAAACTGACGAGCGACCGCTTAACCATGTTTAGGGGTATCTACCTCACTTCCCAACCGGAATCGTCACGGATATGTAAAGATGCTCCAGGGTAACCATAAATGTATCCATGAATAATGTAAATATAAATTGTATTGTTTAACCACAGAGGTACCTCACCTCACCTCCCAACCGGAATCCCGGAATGTCGGGCCCCTGATAACTACTGCAGAAGGGAAGTTTTCACAGCAATGGCCTGAACTTGGACTTCTGCAGAAGTCACAGCAAGGAGCGCTACGTGTTCGGTGAGCTGTGTAGAGCTGTCTGTTGACGTTCCCAGTGGTCACTGTCGCAGCTATTAATGGTAAGCACTTACTTCAGTGTTCTTCTTCAATATTCCACCTATTTTCAACGTAATGTGACCGTGAAGATTAGGGTTAGAATTGGTCTTCAGTAACCCATGCTTGTCGTAAGGGGCGACTAACGGCATTGAACGGTCAGGCCCGCTGACTTAATTGGTTGACACAAGTCATCGTATAACACTTACGTAGATCGATGTTCATATTGATGATCACTGGAGTGTCTGGTCCAAACTAGATGATTATTTACAGACCTGGAGTGCGGCGTTAAATAAAGAAATATTTCATCACTATCCGTGCTGCATCTAACTTCATGTAAGTACTGTTCGTGCGTTTTTCTCGATTGTTTAATCATTGTAACCAGACATGTTCGTAATGTTTTATTCAATGCCTTACCGAGCAATTTTTCTACGAAATGGGGATACGATGACATGCATCTGCAGAGTTAGCGAACCTGACCAGTCCAACACATGCGTTGCTGAAGACCACTTCTAATCTGGATCTTCACGGGTCACACATCCATAATACCCGTGCTTGGGAGTAACATATTAATCAGTGTAAAGATTGCACTGCAATATTTAGGCCAGTGTACTGTTTAGTGGGGGTTTTTTCGTTTCTAGAGTATTGCATTAATGGAAACTCTGCATTACATAGCCTATATTTGATTATGTCTGTACGTGACTGTGTAACACTGAAATTGACACCCAATATTCCATGAAAAATAAGTAGTCGACCCTCAAAATAGATGTTGCATTACTATCTTGTTCTGTTTTAATCGCTGAAATTTTCCAAGTATGCGCGCATGATGTCTTCCATGTTTCCCTGAAGGTCACGCATTTGCTGGCGGAGCCCTGTTGGCGTTGAATCAGGACTTCCAGGTCATGCAGACCAAGCGAGGCTGGATCTCACTGAACGAGGTCTTCATCAATGCACCACTTGGTCAAAGCATGCCATTGGTCAGGTACATGAGTATCCGTTTTTGTTAGTGCTTGAATATGATATGTATCTGAAAATACAACGATTTAACAACGATCATATAATCATGTGCTGATAGATATTAAACAGAAATCGATGATCAATACACATCTTTCGAATGCACAGTGTGATGTATGTTATTTTACTATTATTTATGTTAATCCAAATAATAAATCCAGATGAGAAAAATATATAATAAAATTTATGATTATCAGCAACGACAGCTGTATTCAGATGTATCTATGTACCCAGAGTGAGCCACGACAGCTGTATTCAGCAGATGCATCTATGTACCCAGAGTGAGCCACGACAGCTGTATTCAGCAGATGTATGTATGTACCCAGAGTGAGCAACGACAGCTGTATTCAGCAGATGCATCTATGTACCCAGAGTGAGCCACGACAGCTGTATTCAGCAGATGTATGTATGTACCCAGAGTGAGCCACGACAGCTGTATTCAGCAGATGCATCTATGTACCCAGAGTGAGCTACGACAGCTGTATTCAGCAGATGTATCTATGTACCCAGAGTGAGCAACGACAGCTGTATTCAGATGTATCTATGTACCCAGAGTGAGCCACGACAGCTTTATTCAGCAGATGTATCTATGTACCCAGAGTGAGCAACGACAGCTCTATTCAGCAGATGTATCTATGTACCCAGAGCGAGCAACGACAGCTCTATTCAGCAGATGTATCTATGTACCCAGAGCGAGCAACGACAGCTCTATTCAGCAGATGTATCTATGTACCCAGAGTGAGCCACGACAGCTGTATTTAGCAGATGTATCTATGTACCCAGAGTGAGCAACCAGACAGTTCTTGTTTTACATTGTTAGGGCAAATTTGCAGCAGTCTCTCAATAAGAGTAATTCTATCTTTCTTCAGTACCTGCCGACAAAGGGGTGAGTTAAGATTTAAAGTCACATCGGCAATATTTCAGCCATATCGGCCGACAAAGGAAAGAAATACAATATGTATGCATTATTCCCCAGAAGGATGTATGCTTAGGGCTCCAGTTGTTGCACCTTAGCCTGTCTAACAGTCCCTGAACCATATTATTTTCCATTAGCCCAGCCCTTTCTGCAATGCTGGAGCCCAAGATTCTGAATCTCCTATCATACTGGGGCTTCTTTTCAATTTCAAAGGAATTGTTTGTTTCTGTCAAAATCATGTACTGACTGACTGACTGAGTTTGTGGTTTTAGCAATATTCCAGCAACATCACGGCGGGGGACACCAGAAATGGGCTTCACACATTGTACCCATGTGGGGATTCGAACCAGGGTCTTCGACGTGACGAGCTAACGCTTTAACCATTAGGCTACCCCACCGCCCCCCAAATTACGTATATTCAGAAACTAAGCATTAGTCTAGTTGTACTTCTCCGACCAATGTGTATTGAGTGTGATTGACTGTGATGTTGAAACAGCTTTGATTAGTACCTTAGTTTTATCACAATATGTTGGGTCCATTTTAAAAATCATATGGGGCCAGTAAATCTCCATAGTCACTGACCCGACTGGCTATAGTGAATTTTCATGGGGTCAGTTGGTACATATATCACTGTCTCCGACTTGTTAAGTTAAAATACACTTTTAATTCATGCAAGAATATGGCCTGATAAATAATATTAGCAGCTTAATGATGAAACCAGTGTCTACATTCAAATTTCGGACTATGAATTATTTTGTGGGCTAGTAACTTTCAGGCAAAGCGAGCCCGAAACTAACACTGGTTAGGTCGATGAGCCCGAAGAAATGCAGGTCTTTGACTTTTTTTAACAAACGAGGCGGAATATGGGATTCTAACTGTGCACAGCGTATTTGGACGCCTTAGGCTATTGTCACCCGTGCCCTAGGTGTCAACAGGTACTAAACAGAATCCTTACAGTCACACCAAGCTCAAGTCTCCTGGAGTATCTACGGTATTCTGAAGGCAGAGCTAGGTATCATTCATTGGTTTGCCTGCACCAGCAATCGTGCCATTGTGGGCACAGGCCCTCGTGTCTTTGCGAGGATTAAAGATTTTTAAAAAGTATGTAAATAAATGAGATGACCCCCTGACTCGAAATGCTTGACGGAACAATACATCACGGTGAATTGTACTGTGAGCATTTTGAGTCGGGGGTCATGTCAAAAACAATATGTTTTAAATCTTTAATCCTCGCAAAGACACGAGGGCCTGTGATTGTGGGTGGTGGTGTAACAGGGATATCTGCCTCCATATGGCCATGATGGCAGCGATTAGCGTCGTTTGACCAGTCGTACATCGAACGGATGAGTCGATTGTCAATTTTCTTGGGACATATACTGAAGTCCCTAACGACAAATGCAAACACAAACTTGCCCTGAACAGTCAAAAGATATAAGAAAAATATCCTTCTACATTAGAATTTGCAGATAATACAAACACCGAGATACGTTTTGTTGTTGGACATTTTAACGTTTAGTAGTATCTCGAACTATGCTTACGAGGGGCGATCAAAAAGTAGTGGGACCTTACCTAGAAAGTGATGCAAATGCAGTTGTTTTCATCCCCCGCCGAGCGTTTAGCGCGAAGCTGGGGATATAGTATTAGGCTCCGTCCGTCCGTACGTACGAATTTGAATATCTTAAGAACCGTTGACTAGATTCTTTCATATTTGGTACCTAGGTTCATCACGGTATAAAAAAAGGTCCCAGTCAGGTTTGGTGACCTTGACCTTCATTTCAAGGTCACAAGGGGACTTAGCGTTTTACTCTTGTCGGCGAGATATCTCAAGAACCGTTCACTAGATTTTCTTCACATTCAACACCAAGCTTTATCTAGGGAAGGCGCAGGGTCCAGTCGATTTTGGTGACCTTCACATAATTTTCAAGGTCATGGCGACATTGTGAAGATTTCAGCATGTTAACCTGCATGTTAAGCAATCTTAAGAACCGTTCACTGGATTTCTTCATATTTGACATCAAGCTCTATCTAGGGAAGGCGCAGGGCCCAGTCGATTTTGGTGACCTTCACTTAATTTTCAAAGTCATGGTGACACTATGAAGATTACAGCCTATTAACCTGCATATTATGCTTGTCAGCGAGATACCTCAAGAACCATTCGCTGGATTTTCTTCATATTTGACGCCCAGCTTCATCCAGGGAAGGTGCAGGGCCCAGTTGATTTTGGTGACCTTCACATAATGTTCAAGGTCACGGCGACACTTTGAAGATTTCAGCATGTTAGCCTGAATTCACTGGATTTTCTTCATAGAGTTGAATGTTTTTCAATAAGCATTTTCTTTAGTACCATATTTGCATATTTCATACACTATGACATTCATGCCATGGTCAAAGTCAGTCTTGAAAATATTTGTGTGTTTGAACAACTAAGAAGCAAGATATCAAGAGAGGTTGACTGGTCACATTTAACTTCATCTTAAACTTTCATTACTTTTTAAGTTTGATTTGATAATTTGCGGCGGGGGATTATGTCACCTTAGTGATAATGCTTGTGTTTTATTTTTCAACATATACACGAAGTACTTGATTAACCACCCGCTGTACTTTTGCAATGATAGGTTTTCAACACGTTCATAAAACTTCTCGTGGTGACCACGATGGGAAAAGATGAGTGTTTTCTGGCCAGTATGATCCTTTGACTCATAAAAAACGACAAAATGGTTGGAATCCGTGTTGATTTTATGATGATAAAAAATGATTTAAAAAACACACACTGATTTTCATGCAAAACCATGTCTGTACAAGTATGGCCCTGGAATGTTTAATGTGAACATTCAAAAAGTCATTTTGCGTGTCTTACACGATTCAAGGTATGGCAGCCAGCACTCTCCTCCTCATACCCCCTTGCCAGTGCCAGCCCCCTGATCATCTGACGGGCCACCTCTAAGCTATTCGTCGTGTAAAGCAGCTTCCAATTGGGCCAGGTTCTGTACAGGATCCCTTTGTTGCACACGAGGACCAACCATGTAACAGGTATTCTCGAAAGGGTTAAGATCAGGGCTCATTCAATCGTGAGATGTGTCAGGGGGCCCTTAACTAAGTTCTTCGTGTATATTATCTGTCAACCTCAAGCCAATTGGTTTTGCTATGTTCCAGCCTTACGATCCCCATTTTGTTTGACTTATTATCTTGGTACCCCCAAAAAACTCAAAATCTGCAATAAATGCATCACAGACTTCAGGAAACAAAATATGCATGAAACATTTTGTGTGTTGAAATAGGTATAGAAGTCCACTAGACTTAGATATTAAGAGTGCAATAAAAGCAATTCCAGTGAAACAGAAAACAAATACATCTCAATGTGAAAATGTCTTTTATCCAAAAGATGCATATATAGAGATCATTACACGAGCAAGTGTGTCACACGACTTACACGAAACGAGTGTGAAATACACACATTTTGCACGAGTTTCGTAAAAGTCGTGTGGCACACTTGTGGGTGTAATAATTTCTTTATTATCCATTTTATTCATGTACATTTGTCAAATTGGGCAGTAAAACACGGTTAGCAAGTGTGACTGCCCTGTTCAATGACGTCACGTTCAATTGTTGAATGACGTCACAGACAACGAAATACAGGAACAATGGTTGCTATGCAAAAGTGATATATGCACATGTGCACATATGATATATATGACACTGCTTATGTTTCACCATGTGGATAATAAAGATGTATATATTACCCCTATTCTTAAGGTTCCGGTGGCTTTAATAATCAGTCTTAAAAGTACTGTCGGAAATGCTAGAAAAATGCTTTTTAGCCTTAATATCTTTATAAAGGTGATAAATGTACTATGTTGTCAATATATCAACTCGCCTATAGTGTACCTAATTTTTATTTCAATCGATTTAACATTCCCATGCATTTAAAGGGCAGTTTACAGGAGAGAATTTGGTACCAAAACAGCAACTTCAGATTTTTTCTGAGTTCAACAACAGAAATCTGAAATAGTCTTTACATTTATGCTAATAATACAGGTGGTGTAAAAATATGAATTAACGTATTTTCTAAACAAATAAATGTTGAATGTTTGTGTTACTTTACTTAATTATCGTTTCTTTATTGAAGAAATATTAATATAAATGTTAATTCTTGATAAATAAGTTTCCCGTCATGCATGCACATCTTTATCACAGCGTCCACTATGGCCAACGATTTGCAGTCGATTGTTGCAAAGGTTTATAAGTTTTTTCTAAACCTTTCATTAGTTTAGAAAGGGTTTATTACAGAACTTGTAGAGCTGTTGGTATGTCTTACCAACAAGTTTAAAATATTGTGAACAAATCAGACAAGACAGGGACCGTCTCAAAAGCAAAACCGGGACGTAAAACCATCCTTGACAACTTTGACAAGGGAGTGCTTAGACGGGCGCTCTTCAAACTTTATGAGAAGAAGAATATATATATTCTAAAGAAGCTACACCAGTGACTTCGTTAAATCTTTGGCCAATATTCACAACTAGATTAAACTGACCGAATTACATCCATATTTTTGCAATGAAATATACTGTTGACATGTAAAACATTTATTAAAACGTTGCACATTTCTACAATCAATCGATAAGAAAACACATGTGATAGGATTCTTTCCAATGTACAGTAATTCGTATGTTTATTTCAAAACAAACACACATACACAAATGATCCCTTACATAACCAATACGTATACTATACGTACACAGTCAACATTTTGCAGAAAACATCTATTGAGATGACCCCTCGCCCGAGCGTGTGCTCAGGTGTCAATTTCACCTGTCGATACCGTGGATGCTGATGACATAACACAGGCAGTTGATGTTTGTATCAAATAACGTCCCACTACCCCTTATTTTTCTAAGTTTTTGGTAGTTTCATCAGTAAAAACACATTTTAGAGCATGTCTCAAAATTTATTCCCTCGGTCTACATTAGGTAGATGTTTCTTGAAGTGATATTTGTTATTTAAGTAACTGTAATACCTCTGAATTTTAAATATAAGTCAAAAAGCATTTTTCTAGAATTTCCGACAGTACTTTAGTAACCTTAGACTCGGTATTATTCGTTACACTGCTATACTGAGTTTAACTAGACCTAGTAGAAGGTCGCGCCAGCCAACATTTGAGCGACCAATCAAACGCGAGACGGCCGAATGGATTTCACCAATCAGACAACGACTACTTGTTAGGGTTCGGCGGGACTTACAAAACGTTTTTTGGGATTTTCTCTTCCCTGGTCTATCATCAAACGAAAATCCACATAAAACACAGATATTTGACCATCAGTATATACGCTTATAGGTTTCTAATGACATGGTTACTATTTGCTGATATTTTCGCAAGATGGCATCCTTGAATATTGACAAAAACGCTATTTTCAGCGGCTGTTTACTCATTGCGTGTATCACTCCAAAGCGATCGTGCGGAAAATAGCATTCGGAATCGTTCGAGTTTTATAGGTAATGGATCAAACGGAATGTGCGAATGCTAACTTTTCGCGATTTGGTAAGCTGTGTTCTGACTGGTCAGTCCAAAAGGTTAGCTGACGCGACCTTCCACTAGGTTTTGTTAGACTCAGTATAGCAGTGTAACGAATAATACTGACCCTAAGTTCACTTAGACTGCTTTAATAAAGGAAATATTTTTTTCCCAGTCAAACAGAAAACTAATACAATCTCAATGTGACAATGCCTTTTAATGATCAAACTGTATATATTATCAAAAACATTCATATAGTTGAATAGATTATCCCTAAAGACATTCACTGTGGCAGATATACTTTAATTATACAAGAAATGTACATTCAGTAAAGCCAAGCTAAAGAATGTTGTGTTCAACCCCAGCATTATGACAGCAGCCTGCATGTAGTCTAGTCTGAACCTGACAATCCAGTGATTGATATTATGAACAATGCCCCATATACAATGACAGTAAATGAAGCCAGTCATCAGCCTGGCAATCAGACTGATGTCAACCAGCTGGCCAAGCCTTGGTTGCTGGAGACCTATTCTAGCCCTGAATCCACGCATACTTGAGGAGAGCAGACAGACTGTTGTGAGCGGAACAAGCACTCTTCACTCTACATCCAGCAAACTTGAGGAGAGCAGACAGACTGTTGTGAGCATAACAAGCACTCTTCACTCTACATCCAGCAAACGAAAACACAAAGATCTTCTGAATAGATACTTGAATGAAATGTAACAGTGGCTCTCTATCACTGTTGTACACATACATGCATGCACACAAGCACACACACACACACATGCGTTTTCTCTATCCAACTAGACTGTATCATTCAAGGAAGTCTGGATCAGAAGATGCATTGTCTTCAGGAAGAGTGTTTCTATTATCATGATTTGGGATGCTGGACAAGAAGCACTATTTTCATTATTTGAGACTAGGTGTACATCTTGGTTTTCATTCATTGATCATGTGACATGAAGCATGTCCTCCTTACAAGTCTTATGGTTAAACATGTAAATGGTTACAATGTACAGAGACGCACCTTAAATCATCTTTACATTTTTCTACAAGATAAGTTCATGGTTATTAAGGTTCCCTCACGACTGCAACAAACTACATCATACACATGATCATATAGTCTTATAGATCAAGTGATTTGGTTCAGTTAAACACTGACCAGTGATTTTGAATATCTGCAAAAAAGTGGGGAAAATATCCGAGGAAAGGCCAACGTGAGGTATATGTTCATGACTCCACACGCACACAACCTGGTTAATAACAATTAGAAATATAATTGAATCAATGGGCATAACCCACCTAACACATCCTAGTAATGGCTTTGGTCATGGGTGATTCAGTGCAGTGTGAGGAAATCTGGATGACTACCTGATCCTAGCATGACTAAGGGACACAACTCTGCACAGCAAATGTGGCACCTCATGTCTCTTCTCACATTTAAAAAGTACTCCCATGTATAACACAACCCACCAGTCTGTGAATGTAGGACATGCACTATATCATACACCTCCTGAACACCCCTTCACATTTCAGACTGGTGAGTTACAGAACATACACGTCCATAAGAGAGTAGTTTCCCTGATTCTACTCAGATTGTTCCGTCTTCTGTTGAGAGAGCCTCTGGAAACCTCTTGATTTAGCAAAGTTTGCTTCTTGTTTCTTTTTCCTCTGAAATTAAATGTACAATTAAATATAAACCAAATCATTAGTAACACTTGCAAATGAAACAGTTAGTTCCGAAATGACACTGTCAGTTTCCAAACAATAGGAAATCAAAGATCTTATTAATTTGTAGGTGATTATAAAATGGGAATTAAGCAATCTGTTACCTACAATGTTCTCAACCTCGGAGTATAGTCATGTGTTTAGTTATCATCAAGGTTAAACAAAGTCCCCTACAGCAAGCGCATTGTAAAACTCGGGTTAGACTAGCTTTCCTATCAAAATATAGTTTCTTCCTATGAGACCGAAGCCACTAAGTGACATAAGCAGTGGCCTAGTCAGATAAGTGTTTGCCTTGCTGGTCCTAATGGAGACTGAAGATAATCTTGAATCTTACTACTCTAAATACTACTGTATGTGTGTATATGCTGTTGCCAAAATAAATAATTCTGCTTGTGATTAGATTTATTGCGGCATCTTACCTCTGCCTTTAAGCACCTGGTCAGTGCTCTATCCAGATCATTGCAGTGTCCCATGAATTTACGAACTGGATGCTGAAAAACAGTTTGCAGAGAAAGTTAGCCCCAGCATTGTCATATAATTTAAGTTTGATTTAAAATCATTGTCATGCTGTTGCCACTACTTCAGAATTTTATTCATTTTGGAGATAAAGGTACTGATGCAGCTCGAGCTATATGCAGATTCAACTAAGCTTGATGAAATGGTACCAAACATGCACCATGAGTTTCCAAGTTAATTAAGTGCAGATAAATCAATAGGTATCATAGCTCTATCGACTTAAATCACAGCATGTTTACCTACAAAACTAAACACAAACTCTTTGTTCATGAGGTTGTGTTAGTTAGTGAGTGATCTGGTTTTACACAGCGTTTAAGTTTTAGCAATATTCCAGCAATGATCACAGCAGAGGGCACCAGAAATGGGCTTTACACATTGTACTCATGTGGGAAATAAACCCAGGTTTTTGGAGTGACACGCAGATATTTTACTTGTTATGTAAATATATTGAGCAAGTTCCCATGTAAAGAGTGGGCTGTTAATCTGAATTGAAAGAAAAGTCTTTACGGACGAAATACACATATGCTCAAACATTGCTTTTATAAAATCCTTGTATTTTAATTACATATGTGAGAGGCACTGAAGTATGAATTACATTTCTAATCCAGCTTTAGGTAGAAAACTAATCAAGCCTTTAAAGGTTTAGCTTTACATCACACATCACGGTTACAGCATCACACTGTTCACTGTGACAGATAAAGATAAATCCAAATACAAACAAAATTACAATTTCTTAATATTACTCCGTATCAAAGTGCACTTAGACAGGTGTTGGGCTGTAACATCTTGACAGGTTGTGATACAATAAACAATACAATGTCTGAAAACTCTCAAATTGATAGTTTAAGATAACATATCAGTCATAAAACAAAATGAATAGTCACCCAATCGGAACAAACTTAGCTGATTTGAATCAATACATAAACTGTGGTTTTAGACCTATTTCTTATATAACTAGAAAAAGCAGAATTATGAAATTTTCTGTTCAATTGTATTTGTCAGCCATGTACATGCTTTGTATCACTACATGACTTACAGGATACTGTTATCATGGCACAGTATGGTGTACAGTGGAATGTTACAATCTAAGACATGGGCTAAATCAAACTAGTCCAAAGCCCATGAGATGAGAGGTGTACATTGGACTCAATTCTTGGAGAAAATGACTAGTCTTTATAGTCCTCTTAGTAGTCCTGATCTAGCAGGCTAGTAACTATATGATGTAGGATATGTACAGAAATGGGTGAACCATGAATCAAAACTATTCAATTAAAAAATAATCCTACTTACATCGACATGACACTGCTGGAATGCATTAATAATTTCATTACATTCAGCAGAATGAAGATGAGCGGAAAGATCAGGATGCATTGTAAGAATTACTGGTTCCACCTGAAATGAAAATTGTTATTCAAATTAGGGGATATCACTTGTTAGAAACTAGGTATATAAGGCCACATAATGGCCAATTAAATCTGCTCCATAGCATCACTGTCAAACTTGATGGACCTGTCAACTGGAAAATACTAGTTCATCTAAAAGTTTACTTAACTAAACCGGCAACTTTTTAATTAAATTATTTATTCCAAAAGTTTGTAAATTGGGCATTTAGTTAATTTGTAATGAGTACTCCTGCTTTGAATAGGTCCTAAGAAAACTATGAGGTGAGGTGAAATTGGGTTTTACGTCGTGCTTGAGAATATTTCGCTCATATGACGACGTGCATGCGTGTGTATGTATATGTGCGGCTGCTTGTACTAGCCCAGACTTAAGCTGGTTTTATAGTGCTAGCCCACTGAGATACCATGCCACAGTGAAGCATGAATACCCTCCTGGCGGACGCTCTAACCACTACACCACGGAGGCGGTCAAGAAAACTATGAGAATCAATAGGTTGGTGAGTATTGATGACTCGATTGGTTGTTGTTGGTATGGGATAATGAACACTGGACTGTTTGGCCTAGGCTTGATTATTTACAGGCTGTCATGTTTGAAATAAGCACCTAGATCTTGCATTGAGCCCGCATGTACAAATTCCTTTGGGTTCTATGGCATGCAGTAAATATATGTGACAGTAAGTTGCTTTTGTCTACATGAAGAATTTAAGCATTTAGTCAGGGGCTTCAGGTTTTATAGTGTGTGGGTCCCTATGGCAATTTTATTCATTTTAATTCGAACACTGGCTGAGTGTGTTGTTAACAGCAACAAACTGAACTGAAGCCTGACAAAATAGATATTAGGTTCGTGACTGAATTGTTGCCATCGGGAAATATTGCCAAAGAAAAAGTGTTGAATTGGTGTCTGATAGAAATTAGAATATTCTTTTTGTAAGAAAACTCTTGCATCCAGAGTCAAATGACGAAACCTGAATATGCCTTGGTCGTTAGTTAGTTATACGCCATTATTCTCTTAAAGCCAATATTCCCTGCACTGCTGCAAAGTTGTTTTGCAGCATTTTAGAATTATGGTACAGATGAAACATAATGACCCCTATTAAACACATATGAGTTATTATCGCGGACAAAATAGAGACATGCACGCTCTTACATAAATAGCAGACAAGCACTTCCTGTGTAGTTGGCGCAAAACGTCATTCCATATCCGGATAGGTGCTTGCCCACGTACGTCATCAGTTTTTGTTGTAAATATTGCGGCGCCGATTTCAACGATTTATATGTACGAAACACTTGCGCATCTATCATGTTTAAGCTAATTCCTAGATAACTGGACTCGCCATACTAATGGATAAACAGATAATTTTTCGAGTTATTTGTCGTTGTATCAAAAATGACATTATTGACACTTGTAGGAAGTGGAATTTTCTCTCTGACGGATCTTTGCAGCAGCTGAATCTCAAGAAACCAAAAATTCGGATTGCAGAGGATGTGTACGAAAGTTGTCAAGTGCGTTCGATACTCTTCACGCCCATTTTCTGGAACACAGACAGTGACTAATCGTTTTCTTTGTTTTTAATCTGCATGTATTAGATTCTAACTGCAGAGTGATTCAAGAATTCTTATAGTCTTGCCCCGAAATGAAAGCAATCACGTCTTTCAATCATTACATTATTCTCCAGTTCTAGGGATGTCTCCAGGATGCATAACCGCAGTCAGTGACGTAATACACAAGGTGTATAGTAAACATTCACCCTGGGTCTGTGGTTTCTGATATACAAAGCTGATCAGTTGTTTTTTACTTAAGATCAAATTAGTTTACCTAAACATGAAAAGATGACAACAATGCAGTTTACCATGGCGCATGCTCAGACTGTCAACTGTGACACTCTCTTTACTGATTGCATGCTTCTTAGGGATGGAGGGCGATGGGGTAGCCTAGTGGTTAAAGCGTTCGCTTGTCACGCCGAACACCCGGGTTCGATTCCCCACATGGGTTCTATGTGTGAAGCCCATTTCTGGTGTCCCCCGCCATGATATTGCTGGAATATTGCTAAAAGCGGCGTAAAACTGAACTCACTCACTCTTATAGATGGCTAAGTTTTAGTGGTGTTAGGGTTCGAGCAGATTACCCCCCAACTGAGACTATCATTAGCCCTTGGATCCCCAGTCCCATCCCACTTTTATGACAATCAGGGTAGGGAAGCCCTTGCTGACATCCCATCAAGATACTCAGGGTTTGGTATCCCTTTCCAATCAACATAATGAAACACTTCTACACATTCCTTTGTGCCTGTCACCATTTGTCATTATCAAACACCCTTGTCAGAAAACGTACATTTAGTGATTTTGTACTGTTCTCTATGTTACGATGTTCATCTGCATGAATGAGGCTACACTTACAGACTAGACATGGCTTCCTTTTCCTTCAGCTCGTAACAGTTAAACATTGTAGGATGTAATAATACACTGAACCAGTGATTTACAACCCATTTTTCAAATATATATACGATACGTTGCAAAGCAAATTGTATTGGTGTAAGGACAGGTGAATAGTAACAGAACTGTCCCACAACCAGATTACAATGATCCTCTAGTATATCCTGGTTTGCTATTAATAGCATGACTAAGATCACGTTCTCAGTGCCCTCAGCCAATTGGTTTGTCTCCTACAATGTTCCTTCTTCATTCACTGAAATTTACAAGGAAAATAGGACTTCACTTCATTTACTAGGACTCATGTGATCATTGTGATACATGTGGTCTCACCTTAGGCAAGGGAGTTTGTTCAAAATTGCCTCTGTTCACCCAGCAGAAAATGGGTACCTGGTGGGATAAGTCATATCTTTAAAGACTATAACCTTCCAGCATTCTTAACAGGGTTATCTGGGGTAACCACTTATTGTTCACCCAGCAGAAAATGGGTACCTGTTCCAGCACCTGCATCTTGGGTTATCTGGGGTAATATTGTTGTGCTGTTTGTGCACGCTTTAAGCATGCCCCATTGTGGTGTGGAGTTTTGCATGGTATAAGTACCCTCATTATTATTATTATGTTTCAGGATCATGATTTATCTGCAAAAAGAAACAACATTAACTTATGAAATAGGGCTGCAACGATTCGGGTTTGATTCATCGAAAATCGAATCTGACACCTTAGTTTCGGTTTTGGATAATCATTATCACTATTTTGATTCGATATTTGAATACTATTTGGGTTTTTTCCACACTGCCAGAACGTAATATTGACTTCCAACTCGAGCAGTTTTGGAAATCAACCGAAATGAGTATGTGAGTACTAGCTAATTATCAATGAGAATTGTTGTTAGTAGACATCGGAAAGTTGTGGATTTCATAATAAAAATAGCCGATGTTACATTTGATTTTACCACTTTCTATCATTGAAGAATTGAACCGGGGTGAATCAAGCCCATAATGGGTAAAATGTGTTAGGCCCATTTCTGAAAGTGTCCCAAATCCGCCGTGATGTTGCTGGAATATTGCTAAAAGCGGCGTTAAACCAAAACTCAGTCAGACAGTCACCATTTTCTAAAATGGCATTGTGTATTTCATAAATAATAATAATAAATAGTGGCCATTTGTTATGTGCTATAATCCACACACTAGTGCATGCTCAAAGCACAGGGAAAGATGGAGAGAGTCAGTTATATACAGAGGAGAAAGTCTTTTGTTGTGATTTGAAGTTGCCAGAGAATCAGATTATTTGATGTGGAGTGGCAGTGAATTCCATAGGGCTGTATACAAGAACGATTGTTTACCAAATGAGGAAAGTCTGAAATACTGTATCATATCCGATTGAATTGCACCCATAGTATCTGGAGCATATTATAAGGGTAATGCTATTTTTGAGGGCATTATCATTTGCAGAAGCCTCTGGTCTTCCATTAACTTCCAAAATGAAGGAGGGCAGTTGAAAAGACCAAGGGCTTCTGCAAATGATAATGCCCTCAAAAATAGCATTACCGTTATTATTGCTAAAATACATGGAATTTGTGTTGAAAAGAAAAAGGAAACAATGAAGGAATTTGACTGTAAGTTTACTCAAAACCAACTTCTGACGGGGTTGACTGCCCGAATGCAATTACGTCATCGAACAATTCAAGTGACGTCACAACAGAAAGTGACGATATTCGACCTTGGCCTTTGACAAGACCATAGCCTGCAACATACCAAACCATGTCAGTGTTCGGTTTTGGTCCAACAACAACGTTAATAGTGCAATTGTTAAAGCTAGCACCAACAAGAAAGCCAATATTACCGCTATGTAAAGCGGGAATTCGGGTTGCTTTGACTTGTTTGACCCAGAATATCTGCCAGTCCAAAGCCAATGTCGAATGAACCGACGCACCCACTATGACATCACTTGACAACAGAACTGATAGTGGCCCGTCGTTAAGGTTGAGCGAACCAATATCATTTGCAGTGGCCTGCAAATTCTGATAATAGGAGGGCCGTTTCATGATAATTCCATGTGTTTTAGCTATAAAATATCATATCATACTGTGACCGTACCTGTCTGAATGTTATTGTTAAACACATTATCCCTGTTATGTTAGTCATCTTCCAATGTTTGGTAGGTCATTCTTACCACATTTGGGACATTTCTGTAAGCAAAAGAATGATTCAGTATTGTCACCTATATATTTGTGTAGGAATTCACTTACTAGGGACAGCGTTATATTTTGTGTTCACAAAAACTGAAACACCTAAACAAGCTTATGTATGCTTCAGTGACTATGAATCGTTCATATATACCAACATAAGCATAATTAGCTATTAACATTATCAGCTTTTTCTCAATTTGTAGGAAGAAGATGTTGACATTGAGGCTGCTGGAGATCTTGATCTTATCTGTAAGTATGTTGTGATATCGAACTATTGATAGTAACGTTCAAGTAGTAGAATATCAGTGCTGGAGATCTTGATCTTATCTGTAAGTATGTTGTGATATTGATATTGATGCTCATGCTATTGATCACTGGAATGTCTAAGTAGACTAGAATATCAGTGCTACAGACCTTGATCTCATCTGTAAGTATGTTGTGATATTGAACTATTGATAGTAACGTTCAAGTAGTAGAATATCAGTGCTGGAGATCTTGATCTCATCTGCAAGTATGTTGTGATATGGAACTATTGATAGTAATGTTCAAGTAGTAGAATATCAGTGCTGGAGACCTTGATCTCATCTGTAAGTATGTTGTGATATGGAACTATTGATAGTAACGTTCAAGTAGTAGAATATCAGTGCTGGAGATCTTGATCTTATCTGTAAGTATGTTGTGATATGGAACTATTGATAGTAACGTTCAAGTAGTAGAATATCAGTGCTGGAGACCTTGATCTCATCTGTAAGTATGTTGTGATATGGAACTATTGATAGTAACGTTCAAGTAGTAGAATATCAGTGCTGGAGACCTTGATCTCATCTGTAAGTATGTTGTGATATGGAACTATTGATAATAATGTTCAAGTAGTAGAATATCAGTGCTGAAGATCCTTAAACAACTACGAAAAAAAGACTTTAGTCGGTGTTATAGTCAGCTAAATGTTTAGGAAAACCAGTAGGTAACGGATGTCATGTCTTTGTAGAAGTGACTTGTATGTCACTGATATGTGTGATAACAGAACAAGTAAAGTGGTTTGAAAAGCGCTTCGTTTCACATTCTAGTTTTGAATACAATGTTAAAATACACACTTTTTTGAGAAAATAAGAGCTTTAACAAAGGTCTGTGACAAAAGGGAGAGTGTATCTTCCAAGGCTGTAGGGTAGTTAGTATTGAATCTTTGATGAATCCCTTCTTTATGAATCAATGAGGGGAAAATAGTTGTGGGGATTTATCTAGAACTGTTCAGAGCAAATGGTGACTTTGTTGATTACGGTTCTTCATACTGATGGCATCAGTTGTTGTGCACAATATCGATCACTAGATTGACTGGACAATATTTGTTTATTTACATGCTGCTGTCATATTGTTGGAATATTGCTGGCATTAACATGATTAAGCAACAAATACACACCTGGGTCTGATAAGCAGGCGGCTTGACAACTTTGATTTTTTATGTTTATGTATCATTTATATAATTTCAGACAGCCAGATCCATTCAGAGGGCAGAAAATGGAATGTTTGTGAACTCCGAGGTCAAGGTACTGTTTAAGACCTAGCTATATGCAAAGTGTGCACACTATTTGTAAAATTTCCAAATCATTGTTACAATTAACACAGAAGCCAGGATATCAACAGATGCGTTGGCGGCCTGCATAGTCTTCAGCTGCAATGAAGGTTGCGTCTAGACTAGTGTTGGGAATTGGTTAAAATCTCATAATTGATGATTGGTTCATTACAACCGATCAATCATCAAAAATAATTGGTTAGCGTCATTTATGAAATTTGTTAATGCACATAAAAATACGGCAAAAAACATGTAATTCTTTTGGGGCTTTTTGGCAAAATTTCACATCTTTAAAGGGTGACTAGTATGTTAGGAACATAAATTTCTTGGAGCCTTTAAGATAAATTCAATCATGACTTTAAAAGAACTTGTAGTGTTTACAAAATGTAACAGACAAATTCAACCATTCAATATTGTTAATGAAAACAAGTGTTCCAAAATTGGTTATGTTCGTTTATGAGAAATTATGATCGATTGCTTGGTCGTTTAGTCACTGCGACCAATCTTCGATTATTTCAATTAATCGGACCACCACTAGTCTAGACCACACTATATGTATGCATCATTTTGTGTGACAGATGATTGTATGATGACCTGGAACATTGTGATTGAAGTATTCGGTTCTGTGGTTTTCAGACAAGGACCATTTCATCTCCAATCCAAAGACTTTCAGGAAGCTGATAATGTCCAAAATGAAACTGTATTTCGATGAAGTGGTGAGTTGTAAAATGACAAAAGATATGTGTTTATGGAAGACATATCAAATTGTGCCATGGATTTTGAAATATAAATTGAACTGAAATATAAATGCCTACCTTTCCATAACACGACACCTTCTCATAATAAGTATCTTAACGGCAAGAATTTATGGATGTCAATTTCTTTATCATCCTCGATAATCTCCAGGGTATACGTTACGATAAATCTCCACTAGTACCCTGGATGCATCTATGACTCGGCCCGATAATTAATTACCTCCCTTTGGTGGCTCCGCATTCTTACAGTAGCCGATCAGCCAAGCTGCTGTTACAACCGAGCTTGCCAGTGTCAACAATGATAGCAGTTGCGGCGGTGAAGGTTTGTTCGCAGTGCGACTCAGATTTTGGGGGAAATCATACAGACAAATTGACAGGTCTGAAACCTTAAACCAGGGCTCCAGATATGGGCCGTATCGGCGTATGTACGTCAAAAAAATATGCACGATACGGTAGGAAATAATTTAGAAAACGTAGCAGATACGCACCACAGCAATGGTGTACGGTCTTAGAATCATTTACAGACGTATTTATCTGAAACATTATTGTTTTATTGTTTATTGACCTGTTTACACAAGAGTAGCGATGTTGTGGTGCATATATGAAATGAATCACACGATTACTGATACTCCATTAAATTCCATTCAGTACTCTAAATGTACTCTTAAGGTTTTCCAGTACTCCTGTATTGAAAAAATAAGGAGTACGTACTCCTGATGTTGAAAAATTATCTGGAGCCCTGTTAAACAATATATGCAAGAACTCTTTCTACCTTTTTCAAAGTGCCTTTTCAACAATTATGTTGCCAAGTTTAATTGGTTAGATAAAAGAAGCAAAAGTGAGTTGTGATTGGTACGCTCAAGTTCCCAGCGTAGACACCTGATTGGATAAAAAGCCAACCAAGGGAGGTAATAAATCCATGAGGCTTAGCCTTAGACGTAGCCAGGGTATAGTGGAGATTTATGGAACGTATACCCTGGAGATTATCGAGGATATTTCTTTATGTGAGGAAAACTAATTTTATCCTTTATACTTTCTTGTATACTTTTACCAGTGTAAATGTAAACCTTTCCATGTTAAAGGTCAGCTCACATGACAGGTTTATTCTAATGTAACCTACCGTATATTACCGCAGATACCGATCTAGATAAGCTGTCACCCTAATTTGACGTCTTCACTGACAAAGTCAGTTTCTCTTGTTTGTTCACACGAAATGATATGATGTTGTTTCCTTACTGGTCACCAGAAAAAGTTTCATGAAAGTGTTACCCGTAGATAAGCTGATCCCCTTCTACAGGCTGCTATTTTTTTGGGTCTTCAAAATTCGCATCCTGTAAATCCCTCTATCTGAAGAAATGTGTCATTGTTTCATGGAAGGCATTAAGGTAATACAATCTGAGTAGTTACTGGTTCATCAAAACAGGAGAAGATAATGCCTTTGAAATCAATATAGATTAATAATTGGAGGATCAAGTTTCTGTTGTCACATCTTGATAGCATGTCTATGACACTCTTGTTTTCTCATATATACAGTTAATGGCCACAGAGTGCAAGTATTAATTGTGGCTGTTATTTCTGGCTAATAACATATGAATCCTGTTGACAGCATGTGAATGTGAACATGTTTGGTGGTGCCCTCTGGAGTCGAGTTCACATCGTAGACATGAAGCACCCTACAGTGTACAAGCCCAACGACGTTGTCTACATGGTGCACTACCCCAAGACACAGTATGTCGTCCTCTCCCGGATAAAGGCCAAAGATGAAGACAACTTTATTGAGGTAATAAGATTAGGATTTTAGCTGATGTGAATACTGTATCCTATATGCAGAAATAGAGAAAGTACCAGTTACGCAAACCGCAAGTGCAGGGAAGGAAAAGTGTTCGGCTGTCTGAATGAACGAAACTAATTCTGTTATAGCATGTATAGTTAAGAACATCTCTAACATTTCATTTCAGATACTAAACATCCCCCCTCTTGGGATTGTATGTTGTACTAGGTGTCCGGCAACTTAGGTCAGTTTTAGAAGATGACAAAGTGGATTCGGTGGTTGTCTTTGATGAGGGGCGGTGGGGTAGCCTAGTGGTTAAAGCGTTGGGTCGTCACGCCGAAGACCCGGGTTCGAATCCCCACATGGGTAAAATGTGTGAAGCCCATTTCTGGTGTCCCCCGCCGTGATGTTGCTGGAATATTGCCTAAAGAGGCGTAAAACCATACTCAGTCAGTCAGTGTGTTTGATGACTTGATTTGCATGTCTTGATAAGCACCCTGACAACATGAATCAGTGCTCTGTGTATTGATTCCTGGATTGTCTGGTCCACACCATCCTGGAGCTGCAGTTTTCTGACCAAGTGTGAACTAGTGCACACGCTAGCACAAATCACTGAACCAAGGAAATTCCAAATTGCATGGCTAGTGTTGTTTGACTAGTTTCATGGGAAGTCATGTCTCCTCCTTGGTAGAACTGGCTCTCAACAAGCACAGCCAGGTAAGGTGACCTGACCACTGTCCAGTCTGAGGTAATCCAGAGATTAGAGTGTTGCAGCTGTGTAACATCTCAGACTTGAGGTTGGACAGCTGATTGCAACTGATGCTGTTGGTTTGTTGTTTAATGCTGCAGGGCGGTGGGGTAGACTAATGGTTACGCGTTGGCTTGTCACGCCGAAGACCCAGGTTCGATTCCCCACATGGGTACAATGTGTGCAGCCCATTTCTGGTGTCCCCCGCCGTGATGTTGCTGGAATATTGCTAAAAGTGGCGTAAAACCAAACTCAGTCAGTCAGTTTAATGCTGCACTCAGCAATATTCCAACTATATGGTGGCGGTCTGTAAATAGTCAAGTCAAATGGACCAGACAATCCAGTGATCAACAGCATGAGCATCAATCTACACAATTTGGATACGATGACATGTGTCAACTAAGTCAGCGAGCTTGACCAACCGATCCCATCAGTCGCCTTTCACGACCAGCATGGGTTGCTGAAGACCAATTCTAACCCGGATCTTCATGGGTCAACTGATGGTTAACGATCATATAATGCGGTACACAGGCATATACTTACAAACTTTCCCTCCCTCTCACCAACATATCTCTACCTCTGCTGGTAGTTTCATGACAGTGATGCACATGTGATAACATTTTAATTAGACAGTCGGATTCCCTTGGTTCGTGCCAGTTCTGAGTCAGCTGCTGCTTACATTCTTGTTCCCCCCCTTTACATGGGGCGGTGGGGTAGACCAGTGGTTAAAACATTTCCTCCCCACGCTGAAGACCCGTATGAAGCCGATTTCTGGTGTCCCCTGCTGTGATATTGATAGAATATTGCTTACAGCAGTGTAAAGACATTAGGGGTGTCACGATACACCAATCTCACGATACGATACGTATCACGATTTTAAGGTCACGATACGATATGTATCGCGATACATAATTTTCGCGCCTTTTCATAGCATTACCTTACTGGCAACGTACGAGCTCGCTGATTGGTCCATCAAAATTGTCTAGCCAATCACAAAAGCTGTTAGTTTCCAACCTATTTTTTTTAAGTATAGCTAGCTACATCTATTTATCGGAGCGGTCTCGTATAATTTTACTATCAAGACTTTGAAGGAGATGGATATAGCATAAAAATTTGAATCGATAAAGTTTTAAAATAGGAATCGATACACGCAAGCATGTATCGCGTATCGTATCGTCAGTAAAAATGTATCGATGCATCGATACATTCGCGTATCGCGACACCCCTAAAAAACATAATTAACTCACTCCCCGGTTTACATGCTGCAGGCCCTGCTACCAGTGTTCAAGACAGACGAGGTTCACAGTCTCCAGCTGGTGGGAAGTCACGTCTCATCCTTGGTAGAACTGGCTCTCAACAAGCACAGCCAGGTAAGGTGACCTGACCACTGTCCAGTCTGAGGACACTGGGTACGATATGATTTTCGTTTGTTTGTTGTTTAACGCCACACTCAGCTATATGGAGGCGGTCTGCAAATAATTGAGTCTGAACCACACAATCCAGTGATCAACAGGATGAGCATAGACCTACCTACTCATTCCTCATTCATTATTGGGGCGGTGGGGTAGCCTAGTGCTTAAAGCGTTGGCTCGTCACGCCGAAGACCTGGGTTCGAATCCACACATGGGTACAATGTGTGAAGCCCATTTCTGGTGTCCCCCGCAGTGAAGTTGCTGGAATATTGCTAAAAGCAGCGTAAAACCAAACTCAGTCAGTCAGTCAGTCAGTCATTATTTTGCTAATTATGGTACCATACCTTTTCCATGTAACACTAATCTTGTTTGTTTGTTATGAGCTACGACACATGATCATTGACTCTATGCTTGACATACCTCCAATATGCCCTGTGGGAATTTTCATGGCATATAATTGGATGACCTTGAAGGTCAAGGTCACTCAGTGTGATGAGTTTATTCAGGAGAGCATGTGCATGCAAAAACATTTGGATGACCTCTTTGTTTAGGTCAAATCATGAAACTTTCATGAGAAATCTAAGTACATGTATTTTACAATCTTATGATGTATTCAAAGTAGCGAACTCAATTCCTGTCAAGTGTCATTGTTCTGTTGGGGGCAGTGGGGTAGCCTAGTGGTAAAAGCCTTCGCTCGTCATGCCAAAGACTCAGGTTCGATTCCCCACATGGGTATAATGTGTGAAGCCCATTTCTTGTGTCCCTCGCCGTGATATCACTGGAATATTGCTAAAAGCAGCATATAACCAAACTCACTGACTCACTCATTGTTCTGCTGGATCCCAAGGTCAGTTTGACCTGTTTTGGACTATGGGAAATGCAGAAGTATTTGTTTCAGTGTCTCCAAATGAACATGTTTGAGGAGTGACATAAATGTTTTTTATCATCCAAAACTGTGTTCCACAGGAGATATCGCTTGTGTGAGATCAAACGATATCTCCTAGGTGATATCGTTTTGACAGTAGATTTTGTACAATGCCCTGACAATGCTATGACGTCATGTACTTGATGACGTCACAATGCTATGACATCGCTGCACTGCAAGTCTAATGGCAGTACCATGTTCAGAGATGTACATTTTTCATTGAAAATTAATGAAGAGTGACTTTGGATGATAAATAGAATCTCACCCTCGTGTCTTCTGATATCAAATATATCAACACTCGTAACTTTATCAACTCGTGTTGATATAATTGATATCAGAAGACACTTGGGTGAGATTCTCTATGTATGAAGAAAAGTTGTGCATAGTTTCTTACATATTTCAGGGATCATTTGGAAAGTACAGGAGCATTGAGGAGAGGGAAAATCCGCTTACAAGAAAATCTCACAGAAAACGTAAAGGTACGTTTACTGACATAAGCAAATGTCATGTCAATTTTGTGACATTGGACTAAAGCATTCACTTGTCACACCAACGATAACGGTTCAGTTCAGTTCCATAAAATGGGTGGAAACACATTTCTGGTGGTGTTATCTGTTATGATATTGCTTGAATATTGCTAAACAGTGCATGAAATCAAGCTCACTCTTGCCTATTTTCTATCAAAGTCATACACTCAGCCAAGGTCAACCTCTTGACTCTAGCTGTACATTTTTTATGTTATGCCCATGGATTGGTGTACAGCTGCCAAGAGACAGATATTCAACCCAGAGTCAGCAGACGATATCAGTACACACTGAAATTGGACTTTTGTTGGTTTGTCCTGCTGTGATGTTTGTCCAAATGTTTCAGCATCATCTGAACCTGAAAAAGAATTTAACAAGCGACTCCCGAGATGAGAATGAAGACGAGAAGAAACAGCGGACTGAGTCGCTTGACCACACGTTCGGGACAGCTGACCAGCCAACCCTGGAGAAGCTAGAGTACAAGGTACACTCCTTTCTTTTGTTTAAACATATCTTATACTCTCGGGTGAGATGGACTGGGGACAAGTTCCTGCTGCTTGCAACTTTAGGGTTTGTTTGTGTGAGACTGAAATTGTCTAAATTGTCTTCTTCAGGGGAATAGGGGCGGTGGGGTAGCCTAGTGGTTAAAGCGTTGGCTCCTCATGCCGAAGACCCGGGTGTTCGAATCCCCACATGGGTACAATGTGTGAAGCCCATTTCTGGTGTCCCCCGCTGTGATGTTGCTGGAGTATTGCTAAAAGGGGCATAAAACCAAACTCAGTCAGTCAGTCAGTCTTCAGGGGAATATTTTCGATTTGGTGAGCAAGACATCTTCTTTGATGGAGATTGTGACATCACTTCTGAAACAGTGCAATAGTGGTGAATTGGTCCATGGTATATATTTTACCAAGCTGGGACATTTACTGGGTATTTGAGGGTGACCTTATTGACTCTGCAAGTCTGAATGTGTGCCTAGTACCTGGTGCTTGTGATGAGACCAGAAGATAACATCAGGGACTCAGGAACTCACCCACCAACCCACCCACTCACACACTCACTCTTGTAAAGATCAACAGCTACTGCTTGGTTTTTCAGATGGAGGGGCCATGATGTAGCCCAGTGGTTAAAGTGTTTGCTTGTCTCACCGAAGACCCGGGTTTGATTCCCCATGGATACAAGGTGTGAAGCCAATTTCTGGTGAACCCCACTGTCATGTTGCTAAAATATTGCGAAAAGTAGCGTAAAACCAAACTTACTCACTTTTCAGATGGATGTAAAATTTCGGGGAACTAAACTTGTGCCCATGATGGCCAACAAGGATGGACCGTTTCGCTGCCGCATCAAGTTCGAAGGGCCATCAGTGCTGGAGGGCATCCGGGAACCTGGGCAAGGCTGGCCTAGCCTCACTGCCACTGCCGTCGCATCTCGCCAAGGTCAACTCACTGGCCAAAAACTTCTTTGTTATTCGGGACAAGTCTGCAATGAATAAAAGCCAAACTTGAACTACTGTGTGGTTGTAATAATGGAAAAATCTTAATAACATTGTCATTTGTTGTGTCAAGTACTATTTTGTGTTCAACAAGGTGAAACTGATAGATGTATTAGATTCTAATGTATGATTATGATAATGAATATGACAATAGTATTTTTGTAAACATCAACATGTAGTAGACTAATTTAATCAAAATTCAGTCTTAAACTTGTTCACAATGATGTGTAACTTTACTATTTTGTTCTTTGTGTCAAAAGTGGTTAGAAAGTAGGTTACTAGAAACTCTTGTTTATAAAAATTCTTTGTCCATTTGAAAATAAAATTGTTTGTTTAAAAAACAAATGTTCATAAGGATTCCTTCATGTAAATTTGTTTTTACATCCTGATTTGGTTTTATCTACAATGTAGATTTTATCAAATTGCAAAAGACATGCTTGATTTTACATCTAATGCCCTAAAGAGGATTGTGAAAAGAAAATTATTTGGTTTCCTGTCTCACGTAAGGTATTTTAACTTATGCTTCTTGCTACCTGGCGTAGATCTTTGTTCTGTAAGGAACAATATTTTATCTTGAAATTTTAAGTTTAAAATTGAATTTAGCAATTCAACCTGATTTTTTAAATTGTTCTTGCTTGCTGTTGCCTCCAACTGGCTACAATGTGGGCAGATAATAAATGATGTATCAGATGTTTTGTTTTGTTGAGTGTATGTTTTGTTAATATGGAATAAACATTCTAAACAAATGCTTTTGCCTCTTGTGCTTTTGTAGGTTTGGCATCTATCCTTCCCGATGTGTTTACAAACTTTGTTAAAGGCAATGGATGAAATGTACCATTTGAGAAAAGAACTATATTTATTTTAAAGCTCCGACTGAAGATTAGCTGCATTTCGCCTTATGGTTTGGGGGTGAATGGGTAGCATTGTTTGCTTAGACTAAGGCTCAGTCTCTGAATATAGAAAAGTTTGCCAGAAACAAATAATTCCTTAGGATTAAAAAGAAGCCCCAGTGAGAACTTGAAGAATTCTTTTTTATATATTCCTCCTTGGGGTACTTATAAGCATTTATATGTCCATTTAAATTCCCTACGACAGTTGTAACAATATTTGAATAAAAATATTAAAAAACAAAAACTATGTTTTGTCTTGTGAGACCACCCTTACAGGGCCCTCCGGCCCCCTACAGCCAAGAGCAGGTAACTCTAGACCGTAGCCTTGTACCTCACTTTCCATGCTGTCGTTTACCGGCACGACGTGGGTCCATTTCAAGAAGGTTTCTTTTCCCTGCGCAAAATTATGAGTGTTTCAGAAACAGCAACTGTATGTATGGTTCTCTTTTTTCCCTGCATGGGCGATTTGGAGGCTTGTTCTGAACTTTTTCATTCATAATTTCTAGTTGTAACTTGGTACCTGTCGCGGTCGGATTGCCGGGTGCGTGTCAAGATGGCGGACAGGTCCCTTCGCTAGCCTCCCTGTTCATTGGTTTCCCGTGTGGTTTTTCAATGTTACAGGTGGTTATAGTAATTTTTATTTATATGTTGTTACATGTAGGGCGTTTCCGCTGCTAGCATTTTCTATCTTACGCTAAAAGTCGTAATTGTTAGTTATGTTGCAGTGCGTATTATGGTTATTGTCAACTGTATGCTACGTTGTCGCATTAGTTGTGTCGCCCATGCGTGTTTTTTCATATATGTATGTGTGTATGGGGTTGATTGCTGCACAGGTTTTTTACTTGTTGCAGTTTAAATCCTGTACTTCGTGCCTCGCTGCCATTCCCGTCAGGGACACATACGAGGTGTGTTTCACGCTGCCTTATACAAACTGATCATGAGGAAGAGGGTGTCCGGGTGTGCCATTTTCACGCCTCAAACCATTAAGGCACGACGGGTGGACCGGCTGTTTTACAGCAACCTGCTTCTGGCGGGGGGTGATATCTGGGCTCAGGATCCCCGTCCAAGCGTTCACACACAAAAAAGGGGTCTACGGGAGCCGCTTCCCATTCACGGAGCCGGCTCCCAAAAGAGCTAAGGTTTCCAAGGAGGCTTCGTTGGAGAAAACTAATACATCTATATCTCAACCTGCTCCTGTCTCTGCCACCCCCCCTGTTGTGTCGGCACCCGTTGTACCTGTTGACTCTTTAACAGCTTTGTTTCAGGAACAGATGTCGTCAGTGAAATCTCTGATCCATACGGCGTTGGCTGGGTTCCGTAAGGAGCTCAGCGCGCCGGTCGTCGGGGGTGAATCTGACACATCTGGGGGGGTTGGCTGCGGCCCGAGCCCGGCTCGGAGAACGCGCCTCCCCCCGGGCAGCTTGATCCGGCTTCGGCCGTGGGGATAGCGCGCCCTCGGCACCTGGTGGCGGCCTAGCTTCATGCTCAGGTCCGTCACAGGTGCCTGGCGCCGGCGATGCAGGGTTACCCCTGTCTTCGCCTGGTGCCCTGACTGGCGGTCGCCTAGGCGCCGACCAGCTCGGGGATACCTTGGCGCCTGGCAGCCAGTCTGGGTTCCCCGGGAAGCCTGTTGCGGCAGGTTCCTCTCGGGCACCTCGGCGACCTGGCGCGGGTTCCACCCGGCAGGGCGACTCGTTTCCTCTGGCGCCTCTTGACCTTTATAGTCTTTCTGGTTCAGCCTCTGGCGTATCCTCGGCGGTCTCTCAGGAGTATGAGAGTACGGCGGCCGAGGATTGTGCCGGGGTGGATATGGAGGATGGTGAAGGTAGGGAGGAGTCAGAGGCGGGAGTTCCGTACTCCTTTGGTTCGTCTCTGCGGCAGGTTCGGGATAAGATCGCCGAAGCCCTGCCTCAGGTGGCCGTTACCGTACAGGCGCCCGACCCCGCGGAGTTTCGGCTCCCGGGGGAGGCTTTCGCGCCTAGCCGGGTCGCCGAGGCACGCCTCCGCATTCTGCCATCACTGGTGAGTGAGGTGGTCAATCCTCTCTTGACTGGTGCCCGCACGCGTTTTGATTTGCCCGACGTCGGTAAGCGGTACCAGTTGGGAGAGGAGGCGCTGTTCGAGCCGCCAGTGGTGGATGAGTGCGTCTTTGCGTCCGTCACTCTAGGGGGGTCGTCCTCGTCTTCCCTGGCCTCGGCCAGGCAGGGCAGGCGCCTCCCCCCTTTTCCTACTAATTCACTTACGCTGAAGTCTGCGTAGCGGTCCTTTGAGGAGTGCTACCGGTGCGCAGCCCAGCAATTAAAAGTGGCAGTCCACTCAGCCTACCTGTCTGCTCTGCAGGGACAGCTGGTGGATCAGAGCGCTTGTGACGCCGACTTCGTCGGCGCCGGTGCTCGCGCGGCAGCTCACGGGTGTACACTCTCATCTGGCTCGGGATAGCATTCGGTGCTGTGCCAGCCAGATGATGGGTGCCGTGATGGGCTTGCGCCGCCTGTGGTTGTCCGTGGCGCGGTATTCACCGGCCACGCAACAGGAAGCTCCTGTCATTGCCTTATACCATGGGGTCCTCCCTGTTCCCTGGGGCATTGCAGGTTGTACGGGAGGCCGCGGAGGCTGTTTCTACCTTCAAAGACTCTAAGCCTTTGTTGGAGCAGCCCTCCGGCTCCTCGCCACCGGCCTTCCCGCTTCGCTTCGCTTATCCTTCTGCGGCGAAGGGCGGCTGCAAAGTGGACTGCCCTTTGCAGTCAAAGCGGAACAGGCGCGCGCAAGAGGCAGGGCAGGCCTGCTCAAAGCGCAGCAGCAGCACCGGGGCAGGGGAAGCCAGCCCGGCTTCCCGCTGATTCCTTCCCCAGAGCCCTTATTGTCCCCACTCCGCCAAGCGGAGACTTGCCGACTGTGGGGGTGCACTGCCTCATGCCACGCGTCCCTGTCGGCCGGTTGTCCCTATTCCTCCGGGGTGGGAGGCAGCCACCTCAAATCCCTGGGTCCTGTCCACGCTCAGGGATGGCCATTTGCCACAGTGGGGCCGAGATCCTCCGTCCTTCTCCGGGGTTCGGCTGCGCCTGTGCCGACCTCCAGCGACAAAGCGGGGCGGGCTCCGTGCGAAGTTCAGTCCTTACTGAACAAGGCAGCCATCGAGTGGTTCCTGTGGGTCAGCAAGGAGAGGGTTTTATTCCACCTACTTCCTAGTGACCAAAAAGGACGGAGGGTTCCGACCCATTCTGAATCTCAGAGGGTTGAACCAGTTACTGGAGGTGCCGTCTTTCAGGATGGAGACACTCAGGTCAGTGATCTCCTCCGTCGAGACAGGGGATTGGCTTACGTCAATCGATCTCAAAGACGCATACCTCCATGTTCCAATGCACCCCGAGTTCAAGAAGTACCTCCGGTTCTCCTTCGACGGGGCGTGCTACCAGTTTTTGTGTGTGCTCCCCTTAAAGGCATCTCCACGGCGCCAAGGGTGTTCACCAAACTTATGCTAATCCCAGCTCAGTTAGCCAGGTCTCAGGGCAGGTGTTGTCACCCGTACCTGGACGATTGGCTTCTCAGGGCCTTAGGTCCTCAGTTAAGCAGAGCCTCCACACTGTGCGTGATGGATACTCTGGTGTCACTGGGCTGGATTATCAACCTCAAGAAATCAGACCTCGTTTCGGCCTTGGGATCTGATTTTCTTGGGGGCCAGATTCAACAGACTAGGGATTGTTTCCCTTGCTCCGGACGCATCGTCAAAGTCAGAGGACTGTGTTACAGTTCCTCCAGTAAGCCCAATCGTCGGCCCGAACATGGCTTCGGTTGCTAGGCAACATGGCGGCGACAGTGGACGTGGTTTGGCGTGCGCGTCTGAGGATGCGACCAGTTCAGCAAGCGTTAGCTCAGCTGTGGTCCCACTCGCAGAGCTACGAGATTATTCTCACGACGCCCGAGTGGTTAATTCCTCACTTGCGATGGTGGACGGACGTCGGGAATTTGTCCAGGGGGATCCCCCTAGACACCCCGACACCTTCCCTCTCAGTTCAGACGGACGCCTCCCTCACAGGTTGGGGGTGGGGGGGGTGTCCTGGGCGAGCACTCAGCCTCCGGCCTCTGGACGGAGCGGGAAGTCAGCCTACACATCAATGTGTTAGAACTGAGAGCAGTCCGCAGGGTGTTCGAGTGCTTCCGGGTGTTGGTTCAGGGCCGTGTGGTTCGTCTAGAAATGGACAATCAAACGGCCATGTCTTACATTCTCAAGCAAGGCGGCACAGTGTCTCCGTCGCTCCTTCAGGAGGCGTGGCAGTTTCTACTGTGGTGCGATCAGTTCAACATTCGGGTTTTGCCTGTTTATCTCCCGGGGGTAGACAACGTCCGTGCAGATGCACTCTCACGGCGTATACTAGCCCCACACGAGTGGATGCTCGACCGGGAGATATTCGGGATTATCTCCCAGTTGTTGGTCGTTCCAGGTGGATCTGTTTGCGTCTGGGGTGGCGAACCAGATTCCTGTGTTTTGCTCGGATTCGGATCGGGGCGTTAAGCCAACGACGCCTTTCAGCTCGATTGGACGGACAGGGTACTGTGGGCGTTCCCCCCGATACCACTGATTTCCAGGGTCCTGTCACAGCTGACCGCACAACCAGCTCGGCTACTTGTGCTTCTGGCACCCCTTTGGTCGGCACAACGCTGGTTTCCGGTAATTCTCAGGTTTCTGGCTCAGCCTCCTGTTCTATTACCTTTTCGACCGGACCTCCTATCCCAGAGCGCGCCCCACCCGAATCCCAGGATTCAGTGGGTGGCTTGGCCGCTGTCAGGGATCGCCTCTGTGCGAGTGGAATTCCTGCACCAGTTGCAGACACAATTCTGGCTTCGCGGAGGGATTCG